CAAAAATAAACCAGATTATAAGTCGAAAAATAAATCTGTAAAAATCTGAAAAAAGCAATATTTTTGTTGACCAAAATAGAGGCAAAAACAATCAAAGCAATCGCCGTAGCAGGAAAACAAGACAAATATTTAAAACAAGCTAGTCAAGTAGAAAATTGATGAATTAATCGGATAAAATTGTATCTAGCTATCAAATATTGAACTTGAATTCGTCAGTATATTTAAGGTATATTTTGAAAATAAGACGGTATATTTTGGTATATTTCTGAGTTTCAGACGGTATATTTTATCAATTCGTCCGCGGTCACACTGCAGCGAACACAAAAACTGACTCTTCTCTTTCGGTTTTTTTGCTTGACCTTTATCGCTAAAACCTTTTTTTCGGCTAAATCCAATGAAAGCAAGTACTTAAAATAAACCAGTCAAGTAGAAAATAGTTTAATTCATTGGATAAAATTATGTGGGCATAGACAAAGGCCCGGTTGACAACATTTAAATCCTTGTCGCTCACATTCAAAAAAGTTCGATTTGGCGCGCACGACTCGGTATATTTTTCAAATGAGACCGTATATTTCGGTGATGTTCTGAGGGTCATACTGTAGAAATACTGGTTTTCGCCGCGCTCCCATTTCATTTTCAATGTTATATAGAAATCCAAAAAATGCAAGTATTTCGAATAGGCCAATCATGTATAAAATTGATTCATCAATCGTACAAAATTGAGTGTGGATGGCTAAATGTTCTATTTAGCTGGTAATATTCAACGGAACAAAGAATATGAGGAATATGGTTGCCAATCCTGACGGAGAACGATTAACCTATTACAAGCCAAGGGGGTATTTCAATTTTCCACTGAAAATAATGAAAATTTAATCATTTTAGCGCAGTTCAGCTGAAAAATATCGTGGTTTTTTTTTAAGTTTATAGTAGAGATGGCATGAATCCTCAAGAAGAATTTACAATCAGTAATATTTTCCGCCATTTACCTCAAGTAGTTGAACTATTTAAATACAGGGGGCTTTAGTGGAAATCCGATAGAACCGAACATCGACAGGGTTGCATTTGCCAATATTTTTCAATTTATTTTCCAGAAAAAAAAACGTGAGGTAGAAAAATTAAATTAATTGATTATTAATAAACACCCAGCGCCCTCGAAGCACCTGTACAATGTCCGGTAACCAGCAACAACCAGCCGATTGGGAGCCCAGCCGACAAAAGCGAAAAGTGCAAACGGAAAACCCAATCCGACCCCGAAAGGCGTCCACGTAGTGCAAAATAATGTCTGCTGTTTTTGTACGTCCTATAAGGAGGTGGAGGGCTGTGAGCTGCGCCGCCTAAGGGTGCGGCGTTCATGCCCCGATTGCGCGGGGCTACTACATTTGTGCCTGGTTCCAAAGTGTGATTACGAAATTGTGCAGAACTTTAGTGATATTATAAAGTATAATGCGTGTTACCACGTAGTTCCCACAGACACACGCAAACAGCCAGTGACAGCAGCAGCACACACACTCGTAATAACGCACCCATACTGTCACACACTTACAAACACAGAGAGAGCGCCATGAAATGTAAAAGAAAGAAAGAAAGTGTTGACAAAGAACAGGTTTTTAACCTAATTATAATTGCTAAAAAAATTATGAATTGCCATGTAAAGTGTATAGTGTACAAAAAACAAAGAACAGCCGCTTTGTGCCACAAATTAATTTATGTCAAGGCCTCCTCCCCCCATCACTGACCCATCGGCTGTTGAGTCCGTCCGGAAGCAGCGATGCTATGTACTGCCGCCTCAAGAACACTTGCTCGATGGGGAAATTGATTTCCTATACATATGGCTGTTGTTGTTGCTGTGGACTGGACATTGAACTTGTAGCAAATTGCGACTCAGCGACCCTATAATGCCCGCCTAATGCAGCTCTCTCTATATTTTTAGTCTAGCGGAGCAGCAGCAGCACCAGCCAGCACTCTTTTTTCCCCCCTACAACACTCTCACACTCAAGGTTCGGCCATTATCTGACCCCAAACAACACCACAAGCCAAGATGTTCATCTGGGATTGGTTCACCGGAGTCCTAGGATACTTAGGTAAGCGCACCGGAGATCCGATCGGAGAGCATGGGGCGAGCGCTTTTCTTGAGCGCTTGCCAACAAAGCAACGCCAGCAAAGGCCAGACGTTGGAACGCAGACAAAAGAAACCCAAAATTTGACTAATGTATGCGTGTCTGCTGCCGTGTACACAAATGTCTTTTTGGTATTGGTTTAGCGAGCGGCGCGTATTAATTGATGACGATTTAGTCGAATCATTCGACCTTCCCGCATGTTTTTCGTGTGGTGCATACTTTCAACGTGAATTTCTACTTGCAGGTCTGTGGAAAAAGTCTGGCAAATTGTTGTTCCTTGGCTTGGATAATGCTGGCAAGACCACGCTACTGCACATGCTCAAAGATGATAAGCTGGCGCAGCATGTCCCCACCCTGCATCCAAGTGAGTTGCAGTCCCCAGTGGCTCATTTCTCCTTGCTAACGATACATGATCCTTGATCCATTGCAGCGTCCGAGGAGCTGTCCATCGGCAATATGCGCTTCACCACATTCGACTTGGGTGGCCACACTCAGGGTAAGTTGATCATGAACTCCCTTGGAGCAGGAGCACTGTTTCCCCCAGAGCACTCATAAATTTTGCGCCTTTCCGAACTTGCCCTCACTCTAAATATAGCCACACGAGGCGACACATGCAAAAGAGCCAGAGATTCAGCAACAATCAGCGTGAAATATAGCACAGCGGGTCACTCATACAGAGCAACAACTAGTACTTTTCACATTTGTTGCGTTCAATCAGCCACAGGCACTCGAGCATTCATAGAAATGCCATTACAGTGGTCAGAGATCAATTCGATTCGCTTGCAGGTCTAACTGTGTGATCTTTTGTCTAGGTGAACTTTTTGCAAATTAAAACTTTGAAAGCACGTAAAGACACTGCGACCTACGAGCAGTCTTTTGTGCCTCGATCTCCTTCTTATCTAAAAGTGCGATCATTTCTAAATAGCTTCCTTCTGAATGCCGTACATATTCATAGCCAAAACATCTTCCCAATTGTTACCATATTAGCCAACAATCAATATTTTCTTGTTTAAAAGAAGGGATACTTTTGACCATTTTCTTAGAAGTGACATAAATGTTTGAGTACCGACCACTGTGCACCTATGTATGTACATTTGTGTGAATAATTTACAAGTACAAAAGCAAACATTCTATTAAGATAACACCGAACAAACAACAACAAAAGGCCCAAGATCAACAAGAATCAAAACATGTTTATTAACTATTTAGAGAGTGCACACGAAATGTGCACCAAAATAAGACTAATCAAAATAAAAATGGAGTAGCCGCAATAGTCAGCATGAGGCATGAAATGCGGGCGTTTGGGCAATTGATAAGTTGTTAAACCAACACAAATATGTACAGGCACACACATTATTACGTATTCATATTAGTAGAATATGTCATCGTGACGATCGGTTTCGCTATGGAACAAGCTCTAATCACGAACGGACAAAAGATGGCAGCAACAGCGTCTCTTGGCTTTGAAAAGATATCATATCAATGAACGTGTTTGCTGATGTTAGGTAAATTCATAAAGATTACAATGAAGGTTTGGGAGCACCGAAGACCGAGACACATGCACCAACACGCACACTAATTTCCAAATTCTTAAGACCCAATTTGGCTAAAAGTTAAACTTAAATTTTGACCGATTGTAGCACGTCGCGTCTGGAAGGACTATTTCCCCGCTGTGGACGCAATTGTGTTCTTAATAGACGCCTGGGATCGCGGCCGCTTCCAGGAGAGCAAAAACGAGCTGGATTCGCTGCTCACGGATGAGGCGCTGTCCAACTGCCCCGTGCTCATATTGGGCAACAAAATCGATAAGCCCGGTGCGGCCAGCGAGGATGAGCTGAGAAATGTTTTTGGACTGTATCAGTTAACAACCGGCAAGGTAGGCTATCCTAGGCTGTGATCTGTTTGCGTTTTTACTGACTTTCTGGTGTGGATTTCAGGGCAAAGTTGCACGTGTCGATCTGCCTGGCCGCCCATTGGAATTGTTCATGTGCTCCGTGCTGAAGCGACAGGGCTACGGCGAGGGTTTCCGTTGGTTAGCGCAGTATATCGATTAAGTTAACAATAAAATACCAACAAGAACCATAATAAAACACACACACACACACAAACTGAGAGGAGAACTTGGCTACAAAATTTAAATACGACGATAGAGCAGAACAGAACCGAACCGAACAGAAGAGAAGATAACCCCAACCCAACCACAAAACGGACCTTAAGCAAAACGAAGCTGCGTGCGCAATTTCTAATTTATACATAATTACAAAATAATTCATAAATAATAAAAAACGGAAAACTCAAAAATCTGTACATCTGTAATTAGAAAAACACTCTTACAAAAAGCAACAACCAACACAATGTTCAATGTCAAAGTTCAAACGACTTTTCCATCGACAACATCTAAGAGAATATAAAACAACATCCAGAGTATGAGGAGAGTGCGCGCAAGGGAAAAACAAACTTTTAATTATAATTATGAATAAAACAAATTGTAGCAAATTAAAGGTGATTTATTTAAGAGCAAGTGCTTTCAGCGACGCTGTTCCATAAATAAAATTTAGCTATCATCTACCTTTTATTTCAACCAAACTTTTACTTGTATAATGTCCCCAAAAATTTTAAATTCCATTTAGTTTAGAGACTGCCTGCAAAAACATTATACTACAACTTCAATGGTCCCTCCTTCCCTTATAATTTAGCTAACAAAATCTTGTAAGTTGCATGTCCATCGATGTACTTTTGTTTCTTTTTTATGCATCGCAAAAAAAATAATATAATTCTAAATAAAACGGAGAAAAGTAATTTTGTAAAAATAATAAAAAGTGGAGCTATTACTTGGAAAATAGTTTGGAGAATGGATTCCTTTCCCCATTAAATACTGAAGTCTTTTTTACAAATATATTACTGAGTTTATTTCATGCCACTTTTAAGGATTAAGCTAATGAGTCAATTAATAGCATACACATACAATATTTAAATCAAGCGAAAGGGAGGCACGCTTAATCAAAGATGTCACGGGCTGTGGAGCCCTTGCCTGCGGGACTGTTGTTCGTTTTGTCTATGTAGAAAAATCTAATAAAATATTCAAGTGTTGATTGGGGCTGCAGGTGATGGATGATCATCTAGTGCTAGCTGTGACGGCAGCATGGACGCCGCCGACAGAGCATCAGCTGCCGGTGAAAGAGTCGCATGAGCAAGCATTTGCGCTTGGTCCGCTCCGTGCATCAGGAGCGCATGGAGCCCATGGAGGAGCCGCCACCGCCCATGCGTCGCTTCTTCTTCTTTTTGGCGGTGAGACTCTCTTGTCCGCTGTCCGTATTGGAGTCGGCTTCTGCGTCGCTCTCCGACGACGATGAGGATGACGACGACGAGGAGGAGCTTGAATTACTAGAACTATCCGAAGCAAAGCCGGTGCTCTCGTTTATATTAATACTTTCGGCGATTTGCGCTAGCTCTGGGCGCTGCTCGCGCAGCACACGCAACCACTTCCGCGACAGCTTCGGCCGGCCCCGAACGGTCTTGTGCCAGACACACGGGAAGTTGGTCTTCGAGCTGAAGTTCTGGGTGATTGCAATGGTGTCGTCCAGATTGAGGACCACATGCCACCAGCCGCCCGGCACGAATACAGTGTCGCCCTCGCCCTGCAGCACCTCGATGGGCTTGTATTGCTCCGGCCAGGAGGGTAGCTTGGTGCGCGGGTAGATGGTGCTGAACCACGTGATGGCCTCGTCACGCTGTTTGCCGCCCATGGCGCTGGTCACCTTGAGCAAGTCCTTGGGCGTTTGTGTGGGGAACAGGCACCATCGCTTGTGACCACGAATGAGCGTATTCCAAGCGCTGGTTCCCAGTGGATCGATGTGGATGCCAGTGCCGGAGCGGGAGGGACCCATCACAAACCATCGGTAGGGCGGCCTACGATTCTCACCGCAGTACTGGAAAAGATCATCTCGAAAGTACTTTGGCACCACGTAGTCGTCGAGCAGCTTCTTCCTGCGATGGTGCTCCCCAAAGCTGCTGTCGAAGATGTAGAGCGGACTGTCGTCGCGCGTCCCTTGCATGTATTCGACGTAGTATTTCATCTTCATTTTGACGCTGTAGCCTTCGTTGTCCTCGCCGCACTTGAACTTCTGGTTCCTGTACTTCTTGGCCAGCCGCGACATCGTCCACTTCTCCAGAGCCATCCAGCCATCAGTGCATCCCTGTATCACCACCGGCTTGTAGGGCCGCTCAAAGCGTTCTATAAATTCGTCACACGACACCGCCGCATCATCAATTCGTTCCAGATTATCTGCAAAATCCCAGAATGGCTCGAAGTTTTCATAGTACCGCATCGCCATCCACGCGTTTTCTCCGTCCAGCTCTGGCCTGGCCTTGCGCTTAACGTCGCGGGTGCGTTTGCGGGAGCGCTTGGGCAGTTTGAATTCCTCGCTCATCGTGGTACTTGCTCGAGATTTTGCCAATTTTTTCTTAAATATTTTTAAGCAGAAAGTGGAGAACGTGAGCACTAGAGCAGTGTGACCGCGGAATTATAGTTAAAATATACGGTCCGACCCACCGAAATATACCAAAATATACCGTCTAATTTTAAAAATATACTGACGAACTCCAGTTCCATTATACATATTCCTCGATTTTGATATTCCGTCGAATATTGCTAGCTAGATGGATCCCTCAACACTGCCCACATAGTTTTATACAATTAATGAATCTATTTTCTAATTGACTAGCTTATTTTAAACACTTGCACTTTATTGGATTTCTATATACCTTTGAAAATAAAATTGAAAAGATTGATGAAATTGACCAAATATACCATTATATACCGATATACCGTGAAATACCGAAAAGTATTAAAAATTCCTGAAACGGTCACTCTGCACTAGAGCTAGGCGTGGGTAGTTTGTATATTTTGCGGCGATATATATCGTTATACACATGCAATCTAAAAATAAAACACAGTATTATTATTTAAATTAAAATTTGAAATTATCCAATCTTATAGAACATTTATTCATCAATCGGATAAAAGTATGTGTTCACAGCTGAGGCTCTTGGCTAGCTAATAACCCTAAACCGAATATAAAAATCGATGAATATGATTTCTGATCATGTTGAAATAAAGGGGGTTTAAGTGGGCTAAGTTATTTTTTTCATTATTATCGATAAGTCGATAAGTCATGTGACAGCTGTGGGTGGTAGAAAAATAATGATAAGCCAGGTTGGACGAGGTAATGTTTTGAAAAAACTGCTGTATAATCGTCTGTAACGAAATATTCTACTCTTCTGCAGAGTTGTACAAAGTGCCGCTTCGCGTTTTAGATCATCGCGTATTTGTTAACGGCGAGATCGAAGCTTTCCTGGACAACTTCGAAGTACGGCGCAACGACAGCGAAGTGGAAAAACTTTTCCAGGTCACCGAGACCGTAGGATCGCTCAAGTACGATCTTTCAGAACGTTTCATTTCATTGGGTAACAAAAACCTTACCGAACTGGGTACCGAAGTGAACAATCTGCTGTACGGGGTCAACAACCTGTTGGAGAAAGCCAAAGTGGAGCGGACGGTAATTGGGACCACACCACATAATCGAGGCGCCAGCTTATCGAATATTACTGATTGCATTTTGTATTTTTAGGCCAGCGCACAGTTGCGGGAGTCACGACAGTCACGTGAGCGACGCAGAGCCGAATTTCTGACCAACCTGCAGCACGGCTACAAGCGCATAGAAAACTCGTTTGAGGAAAAGGAGGAGGAAATCGCCGAACTCTACTCCGACCTGCAATTGAAGCTGAGCATTGCCAAATAGGAGCTGCCCTAAAATGCTCAAATCCACAATCGTAGACACCCGGGTGCGCCTTGTGCCGTCGAAGACGCTTTTGGAGTTCCTGGATAGCCAAAAGGAGCACTTCAAAAAGGTTCCGGAAAATGTCGCCAAACTGATGAAAAACGAAGGCTATACTTTACCTTTGAGTACACAAATCGTTAAGGAACAAGAGCTGAACATTAAACGCCCCAATATTGACCGAGTGCTGCTCCGTAGACTCACGGCCGATGTGTCTGAGGAACCAGAACCAGCACCAGCCAAACCCATCGGAAAGAAGAATAAGAAGGCAGCCAAAGATGAGAAGGCAACCGAGGAGGTAATGGAAGATGAAGAACACCCGACGGAATACAATAATGTATTGTACCTGACTGACATGCACTGGCTGAATGATACTCTGATTCAATTGCGCAAAGATGGCATTTGCAATATCTTTCTGTATGAATTGATCGAATCATCCGATCTCGTATTGCCAGAAAATGAAATGAAGCCACGCAACCCGGACCTGGAGGCCCGCTGCGAACGCCTTCGTGCGGAGCAGCACAACCGCGAGTACCACAAGATGACAAAGAATGTGGATGCAGGACTGAAGCATTATCCAGAGGACACCATAGCCTATCAAAGTGAGTAGAGATGAGATCTCAAATTGAGCGATTCCGAATGCTGTTAATACTCTTTTCTTGTAGTTAAAAGTCTGAACAAGCAAATTATTGCGGTGTTGCAGTTCGTCTTCTCTGTGGCAGCTGGTTTCACCTTTGGTTTCTTTGGTGTCAATTTGATGGTCGGTCCCCTGCCCTTTGGCTTTCGCATCCTGCTGGGCGTCATTGTGGCCCTCATTATAGCCCTAGCCGAGATGTACTTCCTGGCCAAAAAGCTGCACGAATACGACGAGGTCTTGGACGCGCCCAAGCGCATGCAGCAGACCGCGCCAAAGGCTCGCGGAGAGCGAGTCCCGTCCGCGGCGACAAGTGGAGTTCAGGCTCTAAAGCCTCATGCTGACTAAACAAATATGTATTACTTTTTCTTTAATATATACATAAATATTTGTATTAATTCGTCGTTGGAATTTTAGATTATATAAATATCTGTAAAAGTTTTATTCTTTCGGGAGGGTGTGGGGAGAAGGATTCTAGGCTTTGGATTAGAGACTACGTATATACGACGTTGATAAACTTTCTTCGAATATTTCGTTACACATTTTACTCGTAGTGATTCGGTTGCGGATTCGGATTGTTCCAGCTCTCGTCCAGGCCGTCGTTGGAGCCACTGCGTCCCATCCATGCCAATAGATAGATGAACATGACAAAGGCCAGAATGCCGCTGAGCACCAAAAACCAGGTGCGTCGCCACGGTGGCCGCGACGACGGTGAATAAAAGCGTCGCGTCCAACGCGAGAGCAGCGCTGCCGGCGTGCGGCGCTGGTACTTATTGTCATCGCGATCCGTCCCACCAATGGGCGACTGACGTGGCAACAATGGTCGCCTACTGCTGGCTGTTGGATCAATAACATAGTGATATTAAACGCCAAGCTTAGAAAATAACTCTGCTGCATACCATTAAAGTCGCCCGAGCTGGGTGGATTAAATGCATCCATTAGGAGCACGGAATGTGGAGTGGAGGCATCACCACCATTCGGCTTCCCACGCTCCCGCTCTCCTCCGGAATGAATGTGATGCACTTTGGTCATATTGCTAACCGCCGCCTGGCTGACGGAAGCCTTAGACTTAATGGCCTTCAAACTGCTACTCTGATCCTCCGAGAGCTTTTGGAGAGCATTGTTATTAGCACAAAGTCGGCGAATATCTCTTTAGCCGCTTACCAGAGCCAGGCCCAGGCCATTGCGACCCCAGTTGACTTGAGCCAGGTAGTTCTTCAGGGCGTCCGCCACGGGCGAGACGAGATTGGTGTTGGGAAATATCTCCACACTACAACCGGGGCACTGATGGCCGCGTGGGGCAGTGTTGGCAGGCAGTGCGGCTTGACGAGCATTCAAGCAGTCCCAATGAAAGACGTCTAGAAATTGTTGGATAGAGTGTCATTAAAAGGAAGGTTACTACATGTGGGTGACACCACTTACGGTAGCAAACCAGTCGCACGCACTCGCCCTGCTCCAGCGAAGTCCCACACAGATTGCAGTTGGAAATGTAGTCGCTGTCACGAAGCCACTGCAGATAGGATTGCACTATGCACTGCGGAATAGATCCGAAATACATTATTTTCTGAGCTGTGTGGAATAAGCATATGTACCTTAGGGTGGGACTGGACCATGCAGTGTTCGCAGACATTGACTCGGTGCTCAAAGCAGAACTGATTGGTGACCAATCGTTTTGGGCATTTGCAGAGACCCATTCTGGCAGGTCAGCAGACTTCTTGTTTCGGGGCGGCGCAGATATTTATTGCACTTGGGGTTTATTGTGCCAGCACACTTGTGTAAAGTAAACCTAGGGGAGGCGCACACAATTATCGCATTCTCCGCATTCAATTGATTTTAATTTCGATTCGTAGTTCCCTAGCCCCTGAATTTTCGTTTTGACAATCACAGAATCAACAGCCACGTACTAGCTTTCGATATGCGTGGCGAATGGCAAGAGCGCTCCAACCCTACCATTCCGTCATGCACCAAGATGTTTCGGCCAGAAAAACATGGACTCGAGCCCGATTTTCAACTTACCAATTTTTCCACCCTTCGAGGATGAGGCTGTAAAATCCCCCAAGATGTACTCACAAAGTACCTAAGGGGAACAGAAATAGTCCATTCCAACGAAAATGAAGAACACCACATCGGCGCTGGAATGGACTGTGCCGTTATACCACTCAACTCGACTCGGCACGGAGGAGAATATCTGCTGGCACAAACTGTCGACTTCTTTTATCCATTGGTAAATGATCCAGAAGCATTGGGAGGAATCACGCTGGCCAATGTCTTGAGTGATTTATATGCCGTTGGTGTGACCGACATTGACTCGATAGAAATGATAATAAGTGTATCGACGGAATTTACGAGCAAACAACGTGATGTTGTTACATCTTTAATCATACAGGGTTTTCGAAAAGCATTGGCAACAAATGGCTACAACCAAGTCCACTTAAAACTGAGGGAATTAAAGCTAAATCCTTGGTGCATCGTTGGCGGCGTAGCGACTTCTGTCTGCCTAAAGGATGAAATCATATTTCCATCTAATGGGCGACCGGGAGATGCTTTGGTACTTACAAAGCCACTGGGTACACAGCTGGCTACAAATGCTTATATTTGGCAACTTAATCAGACTGATAAGTACAACACCCTCCTGACGAAATTCACAGATAAGGAGATACTCGAGACCTTTGAAATGGCAGTGAAGTCGATGACATATTTAAACAAAACCGCTGCACTCTTAATGCACAAGTATCGGGCGCACTGTGCCACAGATGTTACAGGATTTGGTTTACTTGGTCATGCCAAAAACCTTGCACAATTCCAAAAGAACAAGGTCTTATTTAAGATCAACAGATTGCCAATTATCAAAAATGTGGTGAAGTTTAGCACTCTAATTGACCAAAGCTCCAAATTACTTGCTGGCAAATCGGTAGAAACATCTGGCGGTCTATTAATTTCCCTTTCGCCCGAAGCAGCAGACCAATTTTGCTGCGAATTCAATGAAATTACAAAAGGCGAACAAAAGGCATTCAAAATTGGACGCGTCGAAGAAGCAAATGAGTCCGATGCAGTGCTAGCAGATCATGTAGAATACATCGAAGTCAGTCTTTAACTAGATTTAAGGTAATACAAACAATTGATTATTCAGCCTATGACGGATATTTCATAAAGGCTTAAAGCTTGGAAATATTTGGAACTTTACATTTTTAAATGTGTATATCTGATAGTTAATTGAATGTATGCTTTGATTAAAGAAGGAGACTTGATAGCCAAATTAAACACGAAACTTTCTTTTAATTTAGTCCAACCACTCTTTCATATATTGACATTTAATGGCGGTTACATCGCCGCAGTTGGAGCAGTTCTTGATTACAGGACATATGCCACAGGGCATTTGAACCAAGCCCGTGGGTGGAAGAGGTAAATTAACGGCCCTATAAACATACGAGCCATCCTGCTGCATTATGCGCTCCGCATTGCCGTCGTAGACAACCGTCTTGAGTATGGTTTCAAGGTCATCCTCGTCTAGATTAACCTTGCTTATGCCCAAATCCGATATGAATTTGTGGACATCGCTTACGGTGCAGCAGGACATTTGCTTGAGGGCCAAGGGGCCGTCACGCTTCTTTTCCGCATTCTCGCGCTTCATTTGCAGAAAACGCAAGCACTGCTGGTTGAGGACATCGACAAACTCAACTTCAAAGTCCTGGTCCTGGTACCAGGCACCGCCTGTGATGGATCGATCCGGCTCCAAATTGTACAGCATATAAACTTTCTTTTTGCTGGCCTAAAAAACAGGAATTGGGTAAAACGCAATATGCAATAAATGTAGGATGGAGTATATACTAACATTCACAGATTTGACCGCTTTGATTAGCTTCTTTGTTTCCAGATTCTTGAGAATTTTATTCAATTGTGTCATATTCAGGTTCGACTTCATACGTATGTCTCGTATCCAAATGCCCTTGTTGCTGCCCTCCTCCACAATCCCATAGACGATTTTTTCCTCGTTGTCGGCATCTTTGGGCAGTGCGCTCTTCTTCTCCGGATCCTTGGCACGATAGACCAGTTTCTCTCCCTTTTTAAGGATCTCTATGCCGCCTTGTTGTAGCAATATATTCAGGCCCTCGACTCGGGTGGCTGCCGACACATCGGATAGGGCCTTGGTGAGATCATCATTGGTGGCTCCAGCGGGTATTCCCTGGATAACCGCCAGCAACAGTTGGGCGACCTCAGCGGCCATGACGCAGTCAGATCTTTAAAGCAAATTTAAATCAATTAACATTGGCGTAAAAACAAAAACAAACGGTTCGGGGCGAATGGTTGCGGTAATAAGAAGAAGGCACTCACTCGATTCGTGTGGGAAAGGTTCATTGAATTTTTAAAGTGATTTCTGATCTAAAGCACACCTTTTGGATATCCAATAATGTCACAGGCAGCGGTCTCTGATGAGGAAACTGACTTTAAAGTCGTTAGTTCCACAAATTATCAGCGCGTTCAGGATAAAGTTGGAAAGGTACGTGCGAAGCGTGCGAAGAAACAGTAAGATATAGCGCTGCCAACTCGAGTGACAATCAGCTGTGGTCCCCACCTGAATTTATATACGAACTAAAGATATACTCTTCTTTTAACAGATAAGCTATGCGGATGGTGTTGCCGATGGACGGGAGCAAGTCTTTCAAACTAGCTTCGATCAAGGCTATGCCGATGGGTTGCACGTTGGGCTGGATCTGACCAAATTCGGCTCCTTTTTTGACACACTTGCAGCAGCTGGTACAAGAGATGACCAGTTGCTAAAAGAAAAAGAGGTGTACAAAGGGCTGAATTTGCCAAAAGCCACGGATAAACAGCACTTTAAATACTTGGATCATCAAAACGAACCCCTAGACGTGGTGTCGGCGAAACAGGGCACCTATACAGACGACTTATTGGATGAATGTGCCGCATCACTGCCAATAACTGCGAATTTATTCATATCCAGGGGTTCTAGTGTTAATCTGGTTTAATGTATATGATTGGGAATTATCAAAATTAACTGAACATATATTTTCGTGTGTGTAACTTATAAATACAATCCCTCGGGTGTGCCCTCCTTCTTTCGGTACAAGACGCTCTCCTTTGATTTCTTGAAGTCCTCGTTGGTCACCTTCATGCGGCGCTCGCGCAGTGCCATGAGACCAGCTTCTGTGCAAATAGCCTTGATGTCGGCGCCGGAGAGATCATCCTTGGCCATGATCAGTTCGCTGAGGTTCACATCTTCGGCCAGGGTCATGCGAGACGTGTGTATGGTGAAAATGCGTCGCTTTGTCTTCTCGTCGGGCAGTGGAAATTCGATCTTACGATCGATACGTCCCGGACGTATAAGCGCCGGGTCGAGCGTCTCAATGCGATTCGTAGCCATTATTACCTTCACATCGCCGCGCGAATCAAAGCCATCCAACTGATTGAGCAGCTCCAACATAGTTCTCTGGATCTCACGCTCGCCACCAGAGTTCGAGTCGTAGCGCTTGGTGCCGACAGCATCGATTTCGTCGATAAACACTATAGACGGTGCATGCTCCTCGGCCACACGGAACAGTTCCCGCACCAGCTTGGGGCCATCGCCCAGATACTTTTGTATAAGTTCCGAGCCCACAACGCGAAGAAACGTGGCCGAGGTTTGATTGGCCACAGCCTTGGCAAGGAGAGTCTTGCCTGTGCCTGGTGGGCCATAGAGGATGACACCCTTTGGAGGCTTGATGCCCATTTCCTCGTAGTATTCGGGATGCGTTAGCGGCAGCTCGACAGACTCTTTGATTTCCTGAATCTGAGTGTCCAGGCCACCAATGTCTGCATAGGTTTCCTGTGGTGCCTTCTCCAGCTTCATTACAGTGACCATAGGATCGGTGTCGTCACTGAGAACACCCACAACGGCGTGAACTTTGTGATTCAGCAGGACCGAGCATCCAGGCTCCAGCTGATCCTTGTCCACAAAGGATAAAATGCTAACGTAGTGCTCGGAGCCCACAGAGGTGGACACAATTGCGTGATTATCATCGATAATCTCCTCCAGATTACCCACAGACATTGGTGTGCCGCGCAGGTCATCCACCTTGGAGCGCTCCTCCTCGTTTTTCTCGTCTTGGGGCTTCAAACGCTCCTGGTTGCGAATAAACTCATCCTCCATCATCAGGTAATCTTTGATGCGCTCCAGTTTGAGCAGCTTGAGCCGGCAACGCGTATGGGGCGTCACCAGGGGCAGCTTCATGGCCGCATCGGGTCCCTTTGCGCGGCGCTTCTTCTTGCCGACGCGAGTCGGAATTGGTGGCTCGTACTTCTTCTTTTTGTCTTTATCATCCTTCTTGTCGCCAGAGCCCCCTTGGGCCGATTGGTTTTGTCCCTGAAATGCGCAACCACAACAAATTAAATTACTGACGTCCACAGAAAATTGGTGTGCTGCACGTTACCATTTTGAGTAGGCTTGTATTTGGTGATCTTAGATTAATACACTTCTTTATTTTCTGATTAATTTTTACCAGTCATAACCAGTGTGACCGCGGATTTATCTTTCAAACATACCGGCCGACCCTCAGAAATATACCAAAATATACCGTCTCATATTCCAAATATACCGATAAACTACCGACGAATTATTCAAGTTCCTTTATACATATTCCTCGTTTTTGATATTCGATTTGATTTTACTGGCTAGATAGCACCGTCAGCCCTGCCCCATAATTTTGTCCGATTAATGAATACATTTTCTACAAGATTAACTACTTTTAAATACTTCCATTTATTGTATTTTTAAATAAAACAAGGTTTAAAGAGAATAGTTCCACAAAAAAACATTCGCAATGTTGCTTATATTTGAAGACATGATGCGCGTATATGCCTTGTATACCCTATTTCGCTAATTTAATATGAAGCTCCTGTTTTCCGAACTGTTTTAAAAACATAATAAATACAGAAATTTTCTCATATTGATATGTTTTAGACATAGTCATGCATATGATTAGTGTCTTTTATATATATATATCCTTATACCTATTCTTGTTCTCTGTAGGAAGACGATATCTTTGAATTGGAGCTTGGGATGACAAGCATATTCTCAATTCTATAATATCTATTTCCCCAGGGTATGATACTCATTGATGCTTACCGGCTATTACCGATTCAAAAAAAATACCGAAATATACGGTCGATATTTCTGTCGAATAGAGACAACTCTGAATGTGAAACAAGTTGGCAGCACTGAAACCAGGTGGCAGCCCCAAACATTTGATTTGTTTGGGTTCCTTTTGCAATAATAGTTTACAATTTAATTACAATTAATGGATCAAAATGTTAAGAACATCGACCTCAAGCTCGACAATGTGGCTGTCTTAACAGCGGGCACTGCGGCGGAATTCGTGAATAGCATCCTAGACTTTCTTCTATACCAACGCAGCCAGATCCCCTTCGTTTACAAACTATATAAGCATTGCATCGAAAAATGGGACGATGAGGATAAGTCAGGCAAGCAGGAATCATTTTCCAATTATCAGGTCAACCAGCAGCGCATCAAGGCCAAGGCGACTAGGCAATCCATCAGTGACATGAGAGAGGTGAGTCTTATGCCACAAGAGAAATTCCATTACATTGCACTCCTTTCAGCTCATACGGCAAGCATTCAAGTCCTCCAAGGTGAAGAGCCTACGATTTCTATTTGGCCCAAATACTTTCTTGCCCACGGAAGCCTACACTCTGCACATTCCCCATGCGTCCGTAACCAGGGAACATCATTACGAGAACCATGCCCTGTCCGAAGGCAGCATAAAGCAGGCGCTGCTCCGACTCTTGACCTGCAAGGAGCTTTATACTATCTTCTCCACACAGCTTAACGCTACGAATGTGTTTCTGGAACTGGAACTACTGACAACCAACGAACCTGGACTGCACCAGAAACACAAAAGTCTCGTTCAAAAAACAGTCCTGAGTCAATTGCCGCACAGCTGTAAAAATGTGCACTTGCACATCCGGCATGCAACTGATAATCCACTGGTCGAACTGCGATGCTGCCAGGGGTTGGCCATATACCGAGATCTAGGCCTAATGCATCTGGACGAAACTGACGAAGACTGCGGCAAAAAGATTGAATGTGGCGATCCGACTGCGGAACACAGCGGCTGGTGGCAGTCAGATGTAATAGTGCGTGGATTCAAGGTACCACCCAACCAAAAGTCGTGCGATTTGTGGACCAGCTAAAATTGTCAGTGCTTTAATTTTTTCGCCATTTTGTATCCATGTTAGGAATAAAGTAGCTAATCATTTTATATATCTGCACATCCTAGAAAATCGTCGCCAATACAGATAACTGGCTTGGTCTCGACTTTACGTTGCTTGACCACAATCTGGTTGGCCAAGCGGTCCATGTCACGCTGTCCAGCAGGAGTAAGCTTGCGACCCCCCTCGGAATGCTTCTCGATCATGCGTGCCGCTTCGAGAGCGTGAAAAGCCTTTAAGTAAACCAATGTTCCCATGAAATAAAGTTATTTTTTTAAGTTTTACACACTTACCATACGGATGCAGCCATCCGATGAGCGGCAATACTTTGATGGTTGCACCCCCTTGCGCTTGCGTCCACTGTACACCTTGGTGAAGGCGGCCACTCCAGCCGGACTACGAAAGTACAGATGCCGCATTATAGAGGCACAGCGAGTATAGAACCAGTCCTGTTCAGTCGGTGCTGTTTCCTTAAACTTGCCCGTCTTAATATAATCAGCTTTTTCAGGCACAGTAATCTTTCCAGATTTTTTTAGGAAAGCGGACAGCACTTTGGTTAGAACGTGCTGGTCCACATCTTTAACAGTAACACCCGGCATCTTGCAGAATATTTTTTCTAAGATTATTCGCAATGATGAGCACAGAATTTCCTGATTAAATTCCCCTACTTTTCTATGAGGCACAAAAAGTTTTCGCTTTCGACAAAATGGACGTTTCGCAATGATGGCCGCGGGATTTCAAGACAAAAGTGTGACCATCTCAACTGCATTCGGTCACACGAAAGTTTATCGTTTATACTATTCTGAATATTTACGGTATATATGTATATACTGGTATATTTCATCAATCTAAATCTAACATAGGGTATAGAAACTTCTATATGCAGATTTTTCGACTTTTCGCTCTCCAATTCCACGCATCATTTATTCCAATGGATTGCATTTAAATCCTTGTCGCTCATTCACTTTATATTTGGCGCTCATTTGGCGTTTCCATACTCTCTTTGTATGGTAAAATCAAATCGAATATCAAAAACGAGGAATATGTATAAAGGAACTTGAATAATTCGTCGGTAGTTTATCGGTATATTTGGAATATGAGACGGTATATTTTGGTATATTTCTGAGGGTCAGATTGTATTTTTTTATCGGAATGCACTGACAAAAACAAAAGCAATCGACGGCCGCGCAGCACAGAAATTATTGTATATCTTCCATATACCATTCGATCGACTCGACTCATTCTGGTGGTCTTTGTGGAGTGTGCAGCATGTCTGAGAAACCTACTGTTTTGATTTTGGGTGGTAAGTTAGCCTCCGCCTACGCTTCCGCTTATCACTGACTAACGCTGCACTGGCAATGCTAATTCCTTCATGGTGCTTCTCGAAGGCTGCGGATTCATTGGACGCAACTTGCTCACTTATCTACTGGACAATGAACTGACGCAGGAAATACGCATAGCTGATAAGACGCCGCCCCAAATGGCCTGGCTGAACGAGGAGCAGACCAGGGCCTTTGAGAGTGATAAAGTTGAGTTTTGCAGCGCCAACTTAATAAATGCCGGTACGTAATACTGCTGCAACTGCAACTGCAGCGGAAGTAAAGGCAGTGCAACGCTGCTGCTGCATTCCCAGCCCCCAGCTCGCACGCATACCACCATACGTAAACTGGTTTTGAATCCCTTTTGTGTTTTACAGCCTCAGTTAGGCTGGTGTTCGCACCACACCCAACAACGGGCCGGGCCTGGGATGTGGTCATCAACTGTGCGGCCGAGACGCGTGCCAATCAAGATGATAGCGTCTACAAGGAGGGCATTCTCAAGCTGAGCCTCAACTGTGCTAATGAGGCGGCCACACAGCGGGTCAAGCGCTATGTGGAGCTCAGCTCTGGCTGCGTTAACAGCAGCGACAAGACGCCGCTAAAGGAGGACTGCAAGCTGGAACCCTGGACGGGTGTGGCCAAGCAGAAGCTGAAGGTTGAAAAGGAGCTGTCGGGCATCAACGATCTCAAGTACACAGTGGTTCGCCTGCCCATTGTCTATGGCATTGGAGATAAGCGCTACTTAAGTGAGTCGCATCGCATTGATAGCCGATAATTATTTTCAATTTGAAAAACAAGTGAAACTTAACCACTTGCCTACCCATTCCATTCCATCCCACTCCACATGTACAGTGCCGCGCATTATAATCGCTGCCATTTACAAATACCTCAACGAGACAATGAAACTGCTTTGGAACGATGCCATGCGCCTGAATACGGTGCACGTATCGGATGTGTGCGCTGCGATTTGGCAACTGGCGCAGAGTCCCAAAACCAACGGCCAGGTGTACAACATTGTGGATGATTCAGCATCAACGCAGGGGAGCATCAGCAACCTGTTGGTGGATATTTTCAACATCAACGTGGACTACTTTGGCATTGTCATGTCGAGCTTGACCAAGGTAAGTCTTATGCTCTGACCCAACGCTGGTTAAACCTTATCAATCGACTCGTTTTGTTTAGCTTTACCCCACAGACACGGTGGGGGAGATCAACGACAAGCATATGGCACCCTGGGCAGAGATTTGTCAACGCAACGGCATTGAGAATACGCCGCTCACGCCATACCTCGATGAGGAGCAGCTCCATCACAAGCATCTCTACTTGGACAACACCAAACTGAAAGACTTTGGCTACGTGCTGAAGCAGCCGCGACTCACGCGGGACCTACTCATGGAGATGATCGATGACTATGCGAAGCTGCAGCTGTTCCCCAAGTCATTGGCTCTTTGAATCTCTTTTTATTCATTCGGTAGCACCACGTTGATATGCACTCAAGACATTTACAGCCTTATCCTTTAGCAAGTAAGCCAACAGTTTTTACAATTGAAATGCGCAATGGACCGTAAATGGATTACTGTTCCTCTTCCAATTTGTATACGATACTGACCGTATTCCCCTAATTATTTGCCCACAAAAGTGTACTTATAGTATTATAGAACCAATATTTTTGATACATTCCAATCAAACGTAGCTATATGCATATATACATACATATATATCAATGATGAGACTAACAATTGTATTGTATTGTGATTCAGCTAAGTGGCCAAGAAATCCAATTTAAAATTAAAGATGCAATGGTTTTTAGAGTTTAGATTTTTGTGTATATTTGATTATTTTAAATGTTACGGCAACGGAGCAACGGATCGTACGATACGCGGCGATTTTACGAGACGACGATACGCTACGATACATATTTGAAAATGCAATTGCTTCAGTTGGACGCTCATCAACTTAAAAATTACAGAATAAAAATCAACAATAATAAGCTCGCAACTTGTTCAACTTAATACAAAACACGAGAGCAGAGGCGAAGGTAGTTTTGCATTGACTAAAACGGTAAAAACGATTTCTTCCGGCTCCAGCTTCATTTGCCGTACTCGTATATAAATTACATTTCTTTTGCATTTTAGTTTGTGACATTTTTCATCTAAAAACGGCGGTGCATGGAGCAATAGCATTAGTTGTTGCTCTTGAGTTCGAATGGTTTATTAACTAATTAAGAGTCTGCGGGGCTCGTCGCTTCCGCTGGCGCTTAGAAGGCCAGACCGGCATCGCGGTATGTGGTGAAGATCTTCTCGATGGAGTTGACATAGGCAGCGGTTCTCAGGTCCAGTCCCAGGTTGTACTTCATCGCCGTCTTCATGATGGCACGAGCCGAACGCTCCATGGTGTAGTCCAGGCCAGAGTGCACGATGTCCTTCTCGGAGGCGCCGGAGATGCGCTTCTGGAACGACTCCGATGGGGTGACGGGAATGCGGCCGCCCACACGTCCGAAGCGACGCTCAAGGGACTCTTGCACGGATTCTATAATACGATCAGACACATGGAGAAATGGAGAGAGGGAGAACAGACATTAGTTGAGATTGCAACATGCTGGATAGGTAATGGTATAAGGGATAAAACTACACTGAGTTGGTTAGGATAGATGGAATGGAAGCAGGATTAAAGCATAGGGTTTAATGACACCTTTGAAGAGTATATAGTATATAGAAATCTTCTTCTTGCGGGCATGAGGATATACATATGCAAAAACAAATCAAACACGATACACGAAGGAAACAAAATGTATACAAAAGGTCAAAGGATTAACTACAAATACAGGGTGCTTAAGAAACTTTATAGAAATTTTCGGGGGATGGGGTTTGTAAGCGAAAAGAATTATTAATAATAATAATAATGTACCGTCATTAATGATTCTTTCAATTGACTGTTGGACTGAGGCTACATTGGTGATAGAGAAACAGAAAAAGAAGAAATAGAATAAACAACGAATTACTTAGATGATATTTAAAAAGTAAGCTAGATTCATAGAGTCTCTGGGGTGGTGGTGGATCGAAAATAAGAGATAATTTGTAAGGAAAATAACCAAATGGTAACCAAACTGGGAAGAGCAAATGCTTATAGAGCAAAGGCTATTCTGTAAAGGTTTTAGCATAAGAAACCATAAACCGATAGATAGAGATTATAGATAGATGACGAGCAGAATGGCAAATGAATAGCTGATCAATAGATGGATCGAAATATAGAACGAGAGACTTACCGAGCAAATGATAGTTGGACTCGCGCTCGTACTTGAAGGTCAGGCGACCGTACGAGACATGGTTGAGGTTCTTGAGCCACTCGAAGAACGAGACGGTGACACCACCAGCATTGATGTACAGATCGGGGATGACCAAAATGTTGCGATCGATGAGGATCTTGTCGGCAGCGGGAGTGGTTGGGCCGTTGGCAGCCTCGGCAATGATCTATAAAACAATCAAAACATTCAGTGGATTAGATTCAAGTTCTCCATAACTTAAAGCTATTCCTTACCTTAGCTTGGATTCTGCCAGCATTCTCGCTGTTGATGACCTTCTCAACGGCAGCTGGAATGAAGATGTCGCACTTCTCGAACATCAGGTTCTCACCCTCGTAGGGCTTGGCGTTCTGGTAGCCCACAATGGTGCCGTGCTCGTTCTTGTAGTCCTCCAGGAGCTTGGGGTCAATGCCCTCTGGGTTGTACAGAGTTCCGTCGTGCTCAATCACACCGATGCAGGTGGCACCGGCACGAGTGAGATAGCGGGTGGTGTGGAGGCCGACATTACCGAAGCCCTGGACGATGAAGGTCTTGCCGCCCCAGCCGGGAGTGGTGCCTAATGGGTAAAGAAATATATGTCGATAAAATCCCCTTTTCGATTCGTGAGATCCGCAAGAAATTCTCACCAATCTGGCTCATGTAGCTGGCCTCGTTGATGAAGTTCTCCAGACCGTGGAAGACGCCGCGACCGGTGGCCGAGACACGTCCATGGATGCCACCCTGGTTGATGGGCTTGCCGGTGACACAGGCATGAGCATTGATATCCAGATGTCCAATTGTCTTGGCATAGGTGTCGGCAATCCACGACATCTCGCGCTCGCCAGTGCCCATATCGGGAGCGGGCACATCGACGCCGGGTCCAATGAAGCCCTTCTTGGCCAGCTCAAGGGTGAAGCGACGGGTGATCTTCTCCAGCTCGTGCTCGGAGTACTCCTTGGGGTTGATCTTCAGGCCTGCCTTGGCTCCGCCGAATGGCACATCCACACAGGCGCACTTGAAGGTCATCAGGGCGGACAGGGCTTTCACCTCA